CACAGGCGTGCAAGGACATGGGCAGCTCAGATAATGAAAACTCACGTATTATAGTTCGATGACCAGCTAGAATGAGTGTCTGGGTTTCATTCTGAGGGGTGAGCAGGCGTTCGGTTTCAAGTCATTTGCTTTCCAGGCCGACCCTGATGAAAGTGCTGATGTGCCTACAAGGCCGACAGGCAGGAAGCTGAGGGTTCTGCGGAGCGGCCGTGGTCGTCTCCTGTGTGTGCGCCGACGTGTGTCGGTGAGGCTCGCAGCAGGGCCAGCTGCCCTGCTAGACAGAGGAGCTGGCACCTATGTGCTTTCTACATGGTTATGCAAACACTTCCCCACATTATCAGGATTTTCGTACCTGGTTGGCCTGTGACCCCTGAGCCAGCATTTCAGTTGCACCAAGAGATGACCTCTTGACCGAGGGATGCTCTCCGAATGCACATCCCACAGAGCCCGTTAGACCTGTGTGTTTAATCTGCTGTTTTTTCTCCCCAGGCAGCCGGGATTGCTTGCCTTCTGCAATGTCTTTTCGGAGGAGGCGGCTGGCACGGAGGCCGGGCTACATGAGAAGCGAAGCTGGGTCCTGGATCAGGTTCCTCTCCCCTGCCATGGGCACGCCGTGCTGGGCGCAGGGACGGAAGAGCAGTGAGCAGTCCCACGGCTCCGAGCCCAGGGCCGGAGGGTGTGGCCTTGACCCCGGAGGCCAGTGGCGAGACCCTGTTCCCAGGAGCACAGCAGCCTCGGCTCTGACCTGTGTGGGCCACCTTGGTCTGGCTCCGACGTCGGTGACAGGGACCTCGGGGTGCTTTGGGGTTCAGTACAGAGCTGGCACCACACTGCCCGACAGGCTGACCAGGTCGTGTGGCCCTGGGGACGCTGGGTGTCAGGGGGAGCTCCCGCCCATGGACAGTTCTGAGGCCCCGGGCCCTCTCCGGGATGCAGCCTGTGGTGAAGGGCCAAGGGGCACCTGGACAAAAGGCTGTCCGACTCCAGAGGAGGTGATTGGCACCAGCTGTAGCCTCGGAAGTGGCCCCAAGGCACCCTGCGCCCCTGCCGACTCTCAGGCGGCCTTCACCTCTAGCTTCAGCTTCATCCGGCTCTCGATGAGCTCTGCCGGGGAACGTGGAGAAGCGGAGGGCTGCCCTCCATCCAGAGAGGCCGAGGACATGGGAGCCAAGGCCACCGGCCTGGATGGGCCCCTCCAGGACCCTCGACTTCTTTCTGCCCCCTTCAATCTCAAGGCTGCTCAGGGCCCGGCAGACTCTTCCCAGACTGCAGAGGGCAGCCCCAGGCTGGAGTGGGAGATCCTTTCCACATGGGACACAGAGGCCGCGTCCTCCTGCTCCCCGGACCCCTCGTGGTTCCAGGGGGATGCTCTCTGCTGGGACACGCTGCTCAGGAAATGTGAGCCTGTGCTGCTGGACTGCCTGCAGACCAACCGCAGGCAGCTGGAGGTCAGTGTCCCCCTGGGGCCTGGTGTGTCACGAGCTCGGATTAGCTCTGGGCAGAGGGCAGGAAATGAGTGGCTCTGGGGTTACCGACTTCCCCACCAGAAGCTGTAGCAGCTCCTCTGTGGCTGTACTTCTGTTTCGCCTCCTTAATCCGAGCAGTCAGTCCTCGTTTTCGTCCCCTGTTGTGCAGATGCTCAGATTTGCCCTCTGCTGGGCCACGGCCCTCCTGCCCTTCCTGGTGTGGGCTGGTGCAGCCTGGCTCTGCCTTCAAACAGGAAACAGGCTGGGGGGCAGGGGGATGGAGCTGGCTGGTGTGTGGGGGTGAGAGACACAGACAGCGATGCTGGTGTTCGGGGTGGTCCTGCTGTGGTGGGGACTGCCTGCCAGACTTTGTTTCTGGTCATGGGGCCTCTTGGGCCCTCAGTTTCCTTATTTAAAGATGATAACATTGCACAGGATGGTTTTGTGGCCCAGGTGACAATGTAAGTGCTTTGGAAGTAAGGACAGACAATGTACTTGTACGTCGGAGCGTCATGCCAACCACCCACTTAAGTGACATCTGAGAGCGACTACGAACAGACTGGCTGGTTCTGCCCCAAAAGCTCCCAGAGAAACCCAGGCAGAGATGCTTTGTGTTCAACCCATTGGGCTGCGTGGCTCGTCCGAGGCAAAGGCCGTGTTTTCCTTCTGTGTATGTGTGCACACGTGTGCGAGTGCACGTGCGTGCGTATGTACACATAAGCAGGGAAGTAGCCACCCACTCAGGCATTTGGTGGAAGTACCTGCAAATGTGAAGGTCACGTCCATTCCCAGCAATCACACCTCATTTAGTTTCAGTTCTTCACCTGTGGCCTGATGTCCGGCCCAGCCGTCTGGTTTCTGCAATAGGGAGATGGGGGAGCCGGGCCAGGCATGTAGGTCCCGATCCCCAGGTTAGGCGTGGGGTCCTCGACTTAGACTGTCCCAAACTGGTGCCACTGTCTTCCCCACCAAACCTGTTCTAAAGGAAAGGGCCCCGCTCTTGATAAATACTTGTTGATTTGAAATAATAGAACCCAGCCATCCAGTTCCTTAGAGAAACTGCAACCGTCCTCACATCTGGTCAGTCTCCAAGCCCTGTTAGTCCTACAGCTAACCTTCCTCTCACGGCCACGGCCACGGCCCTGGGTCACCTTCCGGTTCATTTTCACCTGGGCTTTGCAAGCGATTCTTGGCGCATTTACCTTCCTCCAGCGCCTCTTCTGTTCATCCTCCGCTTGCCCAGGAGTTATCCCCCGGAACAGTGGTGGCCAGTGTTATTCCTTGGCTTGAAACCCCTGCTGGCTCACTGCTCCTTGGGATAGGATCCCGGATCCTTATTGTGATGGCCGAGCCCTTTCTGGACCACGCCTGCAGTCCCTGCTGGCTTAGTTCTGCTGGCTTGGCTGTCTGGTGCTGTGTCCCATTCCTCACCGGGCGAAGCCATGCCTCAGGCCTGTGCTCGGTTTTCCCTCTATCTGGCATTTCCTTCCCACCTGCCAGGCCCCCGTTTATCCCCTCTGGTGTGGCCCCAAGGCCGCTTCCCTGTGAGACGTCTCTTACGCCCTTTAGACCAAACGGACCCCTCTTTCCATTTTGTTCCCATAGTGCTTTGGACGTGCCCCATCAGAGCACTCACCACATCTAACTGTGATTCACTTGTGGGTCCAAGTTCCGCACTTGACCATGAGCTTCATAACTACAGGCCACGTCTCTTAGGCACTTTGGGATATCTGTTGCCTGGCATACTTCCTGGCCCTCAGCAGATGCTCTATTCATTTTTGTTTATAGTGAAGTAATTTATTTTGCTAAGATGGGCCACAGATATCTAACTGGCAGGTTTCTTGGAATAACTGACTAGGGTATAAGAAGAGAATCTGAGAGGCAGACACACAAAGGACAAAAGCACTAGGGGGTCCTGCTCACCAGTGATAATGGCGGGGGTCGTTACCCCAACACCAACTGAGTGTCCATCACCAGCTGGGTGTCCTACAATTTAACTCAATTCTGACACTGTTTACTGGACACGGCATCAGGTCCCGCAGGTTAAGGGCTCCACCCCACAAGACTGCCGCCCCCCTCCACTCACACAACTAACCCACACAGACACCAGTCGAATGTCGACTAATAGGACCTGGATATAATGTATTTGTAGTTTAAGTGTCTTTGTGGTCATCTAACACTTGGACAGGAGGAAACACGATGCCATATTCAATGATTTGGATGTCTGTCATATGAAAGGGGAGTCAAGTTCACTTGATATGGTGGGCGAGGTGGGAGACCTGTCCAGGGGTTCATAGGCAGAGGCTGTGCTTCAGTAGAAGGAGGAGGCTTCTGATGCCTGGGGTTCGCCTGGGGAGGCCCTGCTGTTTTCCTCCTGTTTGTACGGAGGCCCCTGATTGCTCGTTCGGGCTACTGGGTAGGCCAGGATTGGGGCAAGAGTTGGGCTGAGGCTCTTCAAAAAGACCCTGTGTGGGCCGGCTGAGGGGCTCAGCTGGTTAAGAGCTCGCCCAAGAGTGTGAGCTCTGAGCAACAGCAGTTCGATGCCCGGCCCGAGCTGAGCAGCCGCTGAGCTGCCAACAGGTGGCAGGATGGCTCAGCTTGAAAAAAACAAAAAAACAAAAAATGACCCTGTGAAAGTTTGGGACGTTAGTGTTCTGGGGCCTTTTAGATTTCATATCTAATCCCTTAGAATATTAGAATATCCCTTAGCCCACTCTCCCTTCTTTTTACGTGAAAATGCAAATCTCAGGAATTTGAGTTTTAGCTTCTTTTAAAATAGTCCATCCTCAGTATTCACGGGTTCTATATTTGCGAATTGGCTTACTTGCTAAAATTTACCGGTAAGTCCGAAGTCAGGGTTTGACATGCTTTCCTGGCTGCTTCCGGACGTGCGCAGAACGGCTGTGCTCCCAGCAAAGATGGACATTCAGACATCTCCCAGGGCATCAATTCTGGGTCCTACAGGGATAATTGGAGAAGAGGGGTGATGTGAGGGGGCCGTTGGCTGTGAATGGAGTTTTCTTTGACTTTCTCTCCTAGCTGTTCTGCTCCAGCTTGAGGTAAGTGCTTCCTGATCCCATCGTTTGGCTGTGGCCATGGTAACGCAGCCTTTCTTTATTGCTAACACGCAGGCCTAAGTTACCAGTAAAATTTGCACTTGTAATGTGGAGCATTCAAGGATGAAGGGGTTAATGTGACCATCCATCCATTCTTTCATCCATTCAGAAAGTATTTGCAGAGGACACTAGCATAACACCTGGTGCCTAGTTTGGGAGATTGCATTAGTTACAATGGCTTAGGAACAGATAGCGACACAGTATCACAGGCTTAACGTAAGAAAATCATGTTTTCTTGCTCATGCTTCTCATTCCCAGAGGTGGCCGAGGCTCTGCTCCATTGACTCACTCAGGGCCCCTCTGATAATATGTCCCCTCAGTCACTGAATTAAGGAGGCCACTAAGGGATCCTACAGGAGCGATTCAATGCTTCAGTGCAGAAGTCACCTCTGTCACTTCTGCGCATCCCATCAGCCAGACCAGGGAGAGGAGGGTGTGCCGTAGTCTGTGTGTTCAGAGCAGGGCAGAACCGGGTCATGGTGAGCGCTGCTGTTTCTACGTCAATGCAAAAGAGTTTGGTCTCTCCAGATGGTTGGGGTGAATGGAGCACACAGACAAAATGAAGCAAAACGAAACGATAGCTGTTAACACAGTAGATAAGTATCAAGATAACTGCCCACAGCTCCATTCTTCTAGTGGCTCAGACGAACAACCTGGCATCATCCTGACGCTTTCTCACCCCCACACGCAATCCATTAGCAAACCCTGTTCTGTCTTCCACCAGCCATCTTCTGATTATACTCAGAAACAGATCACTTGTTACCATCTCCACTGCCCCCACTACAATCCACGCTTCCATCCCCTCCTTCCCGATTGTTTCCATAGCCTCCTACCTCCCTCCTTCGGCCCTTGCCCACAGCCGTCAGAAGGAAGCTGTTTGAACATAAGTCAGATCACATGCCCTTTTGCTCCCCATAACCCTCAGAATACAATCCGGACTTTTAAATGGTCTTCACGTCTCTTGGGTGCATTTTTCCTCGCCCCTCTGACCTCAGCATCCATGATTTCCCCTTTGATCACTGCTCTCCAGACCAGCGGCCTTTTCGTTTTGCTTTGCAATGCCAGGAGCACTCTGCCTGGGCCTTGGTACAGCTTTCCTCTCCTTGGAACGTTTTTCTCCCAGGGAGCCTTTTACTTTTATTTTTTTATTTTATTTTTTTTTTTAAAGATTTTTATTGGGGATTTGGGGGGATGGGAACAGTGCTGGGGAATTGGGGGGAGGGGAACAGACACGTTGCTGTCGTTTTGTTCTTCAGCCTAGTTGTGGAAGACATTGCTTCT